AAAAAAAAACAAAAGAACGCTCCTCCTTAGCAGGGGTCAGTAAAATGCCCCTACGGGCCAAGTCTAGTTACTATCGGTTTCTCTACTTTTCAAAAGCTGGAAAGAAGAATAATCATATTTCACGACACATGAAAATGATGAGTGCTTCAAATTTTAGTGTCTTGGGGTAAAGGTTTATGGGGACACAGCCACACACACTCATTTGCATATTGGCTGTCACTGCTTTTGTCCTACAGCAGCAGAGCCAAATAGTTGCATGGCAGACCATGAAGTCTGTGCCTCAGCTGAAACATTTCCCAGCTGGCCCTTTCCTGGAAAAGCATGCCCACATCTGATGTAGAGGAGATGCGTTAATATGTGCACTTGGAAATCCTGCCATGTCCTCAAAGTAGATGGAACAATAATGCTACAGTACAAGTCACACCAGAGGCGCACACCTGAGTGAGGTCTCAGGAAAGCACTCATCTATCAAGTGACTTAGGGGCAGGTGCTCTGGCCAACACCTTCGCATGGCATCATAATGATAGCAGCTACAAGGTGGTTCATGCTTCATGCGGGCGAGGGTACATCCGTCAATGACCTCATTTCACTCTCCCGACACTTGACTGGCCATACTGCCCAGGGTCACTGCAGGAGAAAGCACCACATCCCAGATCTCCTCTCAGGTCCTGCAAGTCTACTGCAGGCTGAACGTCAAACCACCACAGTCGCACATACTGTGAGCTCGGCACCGAGTCCCAAAGCCCACTGTAAAATCTATCCTATGGAGAAGCCATTGACTGTCCTGAAGCTGGGACAGTAATCCCCAGAGCCCTGATGTATGCATACCAATCTGAGCATGCAGAACCGAAAGGACTGGACTAGGCACCCCCGGGGGGCAAAGAGAAGGCTCAGGAGGCTCCTGTGCAGATGGGTGAAGCCCAGGAGCAGGTGAAGTCCAAAGGGCCATTGGCAACATGGACGCGTGAGCTGAAGGAGAGGGAAGGCTCAGAGCACTTGTGGCTGGATCTGAGTGATTAGGGACTGGTGAGCAGCCTGGGGAGAGGATGAGGTCCAGACGTGGCCCGCTGAGGGCTCTCTGGGCATCCAGATGGAGAAACGCAATTTGGGAATGGAAGTTGAAGCCATAATGTGCTCTTGGATATTGTATGCCTGAAGGGATGGTGGAAATCATAAGCACCAGCGAGATTTGCAAGGGCAGGAAGCGTGCTTAGAAAAAGAAAGGGCAGTAGGAAACGGCTATGTTCAGAGACTGGAAGGAGGAAGACGATCCCGGCAAGGGGCCAGAGAGAGAGAGCTTATGGAAAGAGGGACACTGGAGGGCAGCCAGGTGCCAGAGCCAGATGGATGACAAGGAAGGGAAAGGAACTTTCAGTAATGCTGGGATCTGTGTGTGTCCATGGCCAAGAAGATAGGAGAGGTGAGGTGGAGCGAGAGTGGTGGGAGATGCTGAGACCCAGGAGAACAGGGTTGCTAGGGAAAGGAGAGAGGATACTTCACCTTGGCGAGGCTGACCTGCATCCAATGGCAGTATAGGTGGAAAACATGGCCGCAGAGTACTGAAAATGCCTCTCTTCCAAGAGTGGAGTCTAATACTCTGGCCCTTGAGTGTGGCTCGGACTTAGTGGCTTTCTTGTCCTCTAAAGTTTCCGCGTGGGAGCCACTATGACCTGCTGCCAACAGCCAGTGAGGCGCTGAGGCCACCTGCCTGCACAAGGTCACCTGAGTGACCTGCCCTGGAAGGGGGACCTCCCGCCCTAGTCAAGCCTCTAGAGGACCACAGCTTTGGTCGACAATCTGACTGTGACCTTATAGGAGACTCAGCCTAAGAACTGCCCGGCAGAGCCATTTCCGAATTCCCACCCCCCAGAAACTGTGAGATAATAATAAATGCTTGATATAAGCTAAGTTTGGGGATAATTTGATACACAGTCATGCACCATATAATGACATCTTCATCAATGATGGATGGCCAAAAAAAAAAAAAAATGATGTTTCCCCTAAGAGTCTATGTGTCCAGCTGACACCATTGTGGTTGGTGTAGCTGTGATCTGTGATGCTCACACAATGACAAGTTCAGGTTAATAGAACATTGCTATCATTCCAGAAAGTTCTATGGAGGAAATGAGTTCCAGGCAAAGGGAAAGGCAGATGCAAAGAGCCAGTTCGACTGGACAGTCCCACCAGAGCACAGAGAGGCATAGCACACTTCCGGAACAACGGCCTGACACGTCTCTTCCTGCCCCATTGTAGAATCGCAGCCTAACCGTAGACTGTTAGCATCAGGGAAGTGCACTGGGAGGCCCTGTACCTGCCCCTCTCCCAAATGCAGACCCCAAACTAAGAAGCTCGGACACACCCTCGTTCTCCTAACTCTCAGTCCCTTATCTTTCCTCTGTCACTTATTCCCTTCCCTGCCAGGAGGGCCAGCTTCCTGCCTCCTCGCTTCCTTCAACGGCCAATTCAAGGTAGACCCTTCCAGAAAATCTCCCCTGCTCCCTTTCGCTTTCCAGACAGGTACAGGGGGTACAATTTGGCCAGGATCTCCTCAGTTTTGATCTCTGCTCAATGTCTACATGTCTTGTCTCTGTGACCACACGGCATACAGACTATGATGCCTGCATGTTTGGTTTCCTCTTAGCGATGATGGAGGTGACAGAAAGGTTTTGGTGGGAAAGGACGGGAGAGAGGCATGGAACAGGTGGAAGGGGTGGGACTTCTTCAGTGGCAAAGTGTCTGTTGTGTTTGTGATGTGACTGGGATCAAAGCAGCGTCATTAGGGGGTCATTTATGTGATCAGGTCAGTCTTGGGACCGCAACCTTCTGGTACTTCCCACATACCTTCAGAGACAAGTTCCTTTATCTTTATTTTGTCCTGGGCAACTCCCTGAGAAATCATGTTCATGTCTTGTCACTTTGAGTGCACATTTTCTAGAGTCTTTGAAGGGAAGTTACAGGATGAAAACAGATTAGGAACAGAAACCCACGACCATGGTCTGGTCTTAGGGGTATCTTTTAAGAGATTCTAGAAGTTTTGAAGCCCTTAATTTAAATTTTTTCATTTATTTCTTTTTTAATTTTTAATTTTGAGAAATGGAGAAAGAGAAAGAGAGAGAGCTCGACTCTGTTGGTTCATTTCCAAAATGTGCACAACAGCTGAGGCTGGGTCAGGCTGAAGCCAGGAGGCAGGAACTCCATCCAAGTCTCCCACATAGGTGGCAGGGACCTAACTACTTGAGCTGTCGCCTGCTGCTCCCCGGGTATGCATCAGCACGAAACTGGATTCAGGAGTGGAGTTGGGACTCAAACCAAGGCATTCCTATATGGGACACAGGTGTTCCAAGTGGCATCTTAACTGCTGGGCCAAATGCCACCCCTGAAAGACCCCAATTTGTAGATAACTTCCTGAGCCCCTCCTTACTTGCTGGCAGAATATGCCTACCAAAATAATTTTCTAGGGGCCGGCGCTGTGCAATAGTGGGTAAAGCTGCCATCTGCAGCGCCAGCATCACAGATGGGCATCGGTTCGAGTCCCAGCTGCTCCATTTCCAATCCAGCTCTCTGCTATGGCCTGGGAAAGCAGAAGATGGCCCAAGTCCTTGGGCCCCTGCACCCGTGTGGGAGACCTGGAAGAAGCTCCTGGCTCCTGGCTTCAGATTGGCACAGCTCCGGCCATTGTAATCAACTGGGGAGTGAACCAGTGGTTGGAAGACCTCTCTCTCTGTAACTCTGACTTTTAAATAAATAAATAAATCTTAAAAAAAAAAACAATAATTTTGTAAACACAAGAAAAATACACTGGAACTCCCTGCTCAGTTTAAGTATTTCCTTCTCCAATGATGAATCGTGTGAATAAAATAAAATTTGGTGGAAGGAAAAGCATGCTTTTCAGGTTCAGGATGTACAAATTCCCTGTGAGATGCTAAATTTTGGGCTCAAGAAATGCTGTATTCATATAGAGAAGAACTGAATCCTTGTCACTAAACCTGGACACTTGGCACTGTGGGGAGGGCACTGTCCAGGCAGGTCTGCTGGAGTTCTAGAAATCCTTTTCAAGATCTGAAGGCCATGGCAGTGTTCAAGGCTCAAGCACAAAGCCCAAGTCCAGTGGGCGTTATATTAGCGAGGCTGTAGTTCTGACACTTTAGAGCAACATTTTATGCAATTTTAAAAAACTTTGTTAACTTTTTTTTTCTTGTAAAGATAATAAGAGCTGCACGGGCATGAAGGAAGAAGGCAGGCCATAATATCCCCAGCAGCCTCTGGGGGCCTTGTTATTATGGCAACAAGGATGGGCAGGTGTAGATTTCCTGACACTGAGGGCCCCGGAGTCAATACAAGGATGTGCACCTGAGAAACCCAGGTAGTGAAAGGAGAAAGCAGACAAATGCTGTCCCCTTCTGCTCCCTGGCTGGGGCCGCACACAAGGGTCCATTAAATTAATTGATGCAGTCCTTGCTGGGGAGCTGACAAACTCCCAGCCGGGTTAGGTTTCTCCCGCTCATTCCCTAGAGAGGATCTCAGGTGGCCTCCCTTCCAGCTCAGGGGAGCTAGGTCCCAATGGCCCCACGGCAACCGGGCCAAGCAGTGCATGGGGCTGGGAGCTGGGCAAGAGCATCCAGCCGGCCAAGGGCCTTCTTGCTGGCGTGTCCCAACTATGAAAGTGAGGGCATTGGCCAGAAGCCCATCTCCAGCTCTGACTACATGTGTGTAGGCAACTTGATCAAAAAGCCACACATCAAAGCTCTCGAAGTCTATTCGTATTTACTGAACACCCATCTGCACCTGCTGCTTTGTGTAACTCGCCTTACATGCCCAGGTCTGTCGCCTTTCCCACTTTACACACGAGGTAACAAGGCTCAGGGAATCTGTTCCCTGCACCCAGGTGCCTTCCGCTGAGGTCTGTCTGGGTCCAAAGTCCATTTCTTTCTACCAATCTGCCTCCCTATGGTCTTTCATGTCTTTACTACCTTCTGTGACAGGCGCCTGACCCTGACACACCTGCTAGAAATGCCCGCGGAAACCATGCCCCACCCCAACCCCAACTCCACCCCAGTCTGTTTTGTGTTTGGTCGCCCAGTCTTGGCCTCTCCCGCAACCCTGCTCCCGGGGCTACCCCGTGTCTTCACTGCAAACATGGGTGGAATTTTCCTTCCAGCCTAGCCCTGTGCCAAGCTCTTCCTCTGCCCCCTGTGGCCCTCATGACAAGCCTCCACCATCCATGGGCACCTGGAGAGATAAAGCAACTCAGCAGAAGCTGTAGCTGGGGCAGGAACTCAGACTGTCCCTTTGATGAGACGAAACAGCTGCCCATTGGTGAAACAAAGGACCATCACTTGGGAACCGGGCAAGCTCCACCACTCCGACAGCATCAGCTGTGGCGCCGCCCACACCCCAGAGGTTGAGAATTTGAAGCCAGTTCGGCTCGTTCTCCATCATAGGCATTTTCTGCATGCCCGTTCTGTGACATCTGCTTCCAGACAGACGCTGGTTTTCTGGCCGTCTCCCCACAAGGTAAGCGTTGAGCTGGTTTGGGCTGAATGTTCTCATTGCTTACGCAGATGATCCAAGTCTTGGACATTACAGCAGCTGTCTCCCCACTGTTACCAGGTCACCAGGCCCCTGCTCTCAGCCTTGACAATGGAGTCTTACCACACGAGAGAGCAAAACCCAAACTTCTGCCCCAGGTGACTCAGGCCTAGCCTCCCTCTCATCTCTGTTGCTCACCTGACTGCACGATTCTGGCCTCCATCTGTCACCCCTTCCAGGAGCACTTTTAGTTTTAGCTTGCTCACTGATTTATGCTCTGACTACCCCGCCTTTCTCAACCAGGAAGCTCACAGTAAGTACTTGATTCATTTGAATTCGCTGCCATTTCGTGACCCCAGTTCTCACTGATGAACCCCAAGCCATCAGCAGAAGCAGGATCCTGGAAGGGCGTGCCTTGGGACACAGTGGGTTGAGCTGCCGCTTGGAACACCTGTATCCATTGTCAGAGTGCAGGTGGAAGTCCTGGCCACTGTGCTTCCAACCCAGCTCTCTGCTATGCACCTGGGAAGCGGTGGATGATGGTGCAAGGAGTTGAGTTCCTGCCACCTACGTGGGAGATCTGGATGGAGCCCCCCTGGCTGTCGTGGGCATTTGGGGAGCAAACCAGTGGATGGAAGATCTCTCTCTCCCTCCCCTCCTCTCTCTCTCCTCTCTCTGTCACTTGGCCATTCAAATATAGGTCTTTTTCTTTAAACTAGAAACTTGTTTTGTGAGACAGATCTCTACGGGTCTCCTAAATAGAGCAGAGGCACTCACTGCCTTTGTTTCAGACTTCTTAAAACATTTAATTTGTATTTTTAACTGACACATAAAAACTGTACATATTTATGGGGTGCTATGTGATGCTTTCACATATGTATGAGGGTACTTTAGAAAGTCTATAGAAAAATGGAATTAAAAGATTTGTTCATGTTGATGCAAAAAATGAAATCCATGCATACTTCTTTGCATGGTGTGCATTTTCCATGAACTTTTTGAAGACTCCTCATATGCATGGATTTTGAAATATTTTTGCACCAAAATAAATGTATTTTTAAAAAATAATTACATGGGGCTGGCATTGTGGTGTAGCAGGTAATGCTGAGGCCTGCAATGCCAGCATCTCGTATGGGCTCCAGTTCAAGACCCGGCTGCTCCACTTCTGATCCAGCTCCCTGCTAATGTGCCTGGGAAAGCAACAGAGGATGGCCCAAGTCCTTGGGCTCCTGCACCCATGTCGGAGACCCAGAAGAAGCTCCTGCCTCCTGGCTTCAGCCTGGCCCAGCCCTGGCTGAGTGAACCAGTGAATAAAAGGTATCTTTCTCTCTCTGTCTCTTCTTTTCTCTGTGTAACTTTTTCTTATATATACATACATATACATATACATGTATATGTATATTTATATATATGCACACACATATATATATATATATTGGGGCCTGCGCTGTGGTGTAGTGGGTAAAGCTACCACCTGCAGTGCTAGCATCCCATATGGGCGCCGGTTCAAGTCCCAGCTGCTCCATTCCCTATCCAGCTCTCTGCTGTGGCCTGGAAAAGTAGTAGAAGATGGCCCAAGTCCTTGGGCCCCTGCACCTGTGTGGGAGACTGGGAAGAAGCTCCTGGCTCCTGGCTTCGGATCAGCCCAGTTCTGGCCATTGCAGCCTTCTGGGGAGTGAACCAGCAGATGGAAGACCTCTCTCTCTCTCTCTCTCTCTCTCTCTCTCTCTCTCACTCTGCCTTTCAAATAAATAAATAAATCTTAAAAATAAATAAATTCATTATGTGTGTGTGTATATATATATATTTGTTTGAAAGGCAGTTGCAGAGAGAGGCAGAGATATCTTCCATCTCTTGGTTCATTTCCCAAATGCCCACAACAGCCGCGGCTGGGCCAGGCCAAAACCAGGAGCCAGAAACTCAATCTGGGTCTCTCACATGGGTGGCAGGGTCCCAAGAACTTGGGTCATCACCTTCTCCCCTGCCTCTGCCCCTGCCAAGATGTACATTAACAGGAAGTTGGAATTAGAAATAGGGTCAGGACTCAACCCAGGCACTCTGATATGGGATGCAGGCATCCCGAGTAGCTTTTTTAACCACTGTTCTGAATGCCCGCCCCAGGGAACAGCTTTTGAAAACAGAGAGAGTGCCTCCCCCCAGAGCGGAGGGCAGTCTTGCTGCACAGAAAAGGAAAGGCATGTCACTGCCCACTGTAAAAGATTTGGGTCCCGGGGCCCAGAGCTCCTCTCCTGCAATGTAAGCTACCGTGAGTGCATCTGCCCTCTGGTCCTCTTCAGCTGAGGAGCCAACACCAGAAAATGCCGATACTCTGCTACCACTATCGCTGGAAATAATGCAATCCTTTCCCTCTGACCCAGGGATCTCATGTCTTCTGCCAGCATCTGTGACACTGGTAGAATAACTAACTTGCTTGCAGGGAAGGTAAAATCCCAAACCTTCCCGAGTCCTTGATAACAGCCACCAAGGTTACTGCAGGTGAGGCAGCTCCACTTCACTCATGCACCCAGCATCTGGTGACAGCAGGTACAGCAACCTTGAAGTCTATGCTATTTCTGGGGCATAAAATTACCAAGGACTTTATTGAGAAGCTGTCACAACACCATATAAAGCACGAAAGAGAGCCTCATTAGCGTTGCAATGTTTATAAGCTTTGCAGTACAAAGATGTGGCCAATTTTGCATCTTCTACCTAAAAACAGAAGACGGGTGCAGTTTCTCAAGGCCTTTGCACTATCTTTTTTGGCGCATCTGCATTGGTCTACTGGAGGACCACGCTCTGCAGTGCTGGGTGGCACCTGGGGGCTTCCCTTCCATAATCCTTACAGACCAACCTGGGCCGAGAGGGGTTTCTGCTCTCCCACCCCATACTTGCATATTGATATTTTTAAAAATTAGCTGCATGACTTTCTAATAAAAGGATTCTTTAGGGCTGGCATTGTGGCCTAGGGGGCTAAGCCTTCACTTGTGACATCAGTGTCCCATATCAGAATGCCAATTCAAATCCCTGCTGCTCTGCTTCAGATCCAGCTCCCTGCTAATGTGCCTGGGAAAGTATCAGAAGATGGCTCAAGGTGGCCCCTACCACCCACCTGGCACAGTCAGATGGAGTTCCAGGCTCCTGGCTTCAGCCTGGCCCAGTTCTGGCCTTTAGGGCCACTTGGGAAAATGAACCAGTAGATGAAAAAACTCTTTCTCTCCATGTGTCTTCCTTTCTCTCTGCCTTTCAAGTAAATCTTTAAAAAAAGTTCTTGAGTACCAAAAATAAAATATAATTCCCTATAATGGCAAAAATATGTTCCAGTGTCAAAAAAGAACATTTCAAAGCCTGAGAAAAATTTCAGCTATGAGTTCGTTCTCCTCCTCCCTGTTTTATAAATCAGTTTCTTTATTTTGGGATGGAAGGAATCAATCATTAGGAAAAAGAATAGAGAAATCCTTTAAAAATTAATTCACGCATCAAAAATATGTATTGATTTCCTACCAGTACTGAGTTCAGTGGAGAACAGAAACATGGAATGGCATTTGCCCCACCCTTGAGGAATTTACTGTCTCATTAGGGAGGTGACTGGAGCATGGGTCATCCGAACTGAAGGGAAGGTAAAGTACGTGGCCCTAGAGGGGGGAGCACACCTGGGGGGGGCGGGGATGGAGCTGCTTAACCTTGACACAGGAGGTGGGGGGCGGAGAGCAGTCCCTGGGGGTGGGGCCTGCATGCCAGCAGGGCACAGAGGGTGCTGGGTAACAGGTGCATGCCTGGGGAGAGGTAAGCTCCCTCTGGTCGTGTGAGTTGGAGTGAGGTTGGGGGCTGAGTACTTGAGGCACAAGGACTTTGCTGCCTACCCACGTGGGTCTGTGGGTATGTGGGGTCAAGGTACTGACTAAACACCTTGCAGGGCTAAAAGTCACACGGAAGGGACAGGCAGCTCTGGAGGAGGCAAGGGCAGAGGGCAGAGGGGAGCCAGGGGGCTGCGTGCGCCAAGACCCCGGCTCATCAGCCTTCTCCTCTCTGCCCTCGTGGTGGAGCGGTACCTGGGAGACACACAGGCCGACAGAGGACAGAGCAACTGAGATGGCCGCCGCCTGCCTGCGACTCCGCCAAAGCTGCACCCGCCTGACTGACACAGCCCCGGGATTCAGGGAATCTTACAATTCCAGACCCCGAGGGCTTTCCCGTGTTGGGGGCAGGAATCCCTCCACAAAGCCTGAGTTCTGAGCAAACTCAGAAAATGGGAATTTTTTCCAGGTCTTTAAGATTGGGAAACAATCCTTACAATCCTAGAAGGGGAAAAACAAGAACTCCCTCCCGCTCCCTGGGCTTCCTTTCTATTTCTCTTCTAATTAATACCCATAGGCAGGCCTGTGTGATAAAACCTTGTCCAGAGTGACTTTTGAGATCCCCTGGAACGTTCTCAGTTGACCTCACACACACCCTTTTTCCCGAAGGGGACGCCGATCCGGAGATCTGCGCTTACTGTAAAGAGAGAGGGCTGCTCAGCCACTCTGAGTCAACCAGGCTGCTCCACACACTCATTACCTAACGTGCAACTACAAATCAGAAGTAGGCCAAGGGTCATGTGCGTGCGCTTGCGCAATACTCGGAGAGAGGCTGCAAAGAGCGCCTCAGCATTCCTGTTCTCCACGCCCTCAGTGGTCCCTGCGGAGGTGTTTTTCCTGGGGACTCTCGGAGGACGTCCAGGAGGGCCGACATCCAGGAAGTGCGTCCTCTAACCCCGGAGCTCACCGAGAAGACCCGGGAGTCTCCTGTCTCTGGCCCCGCCCCTTCCTTGGCACTCACACAAGAATTTCGTGACATCTCTCCGCACCGCCTAAATGCTAATTACAGATGTGGGTCTACACACATGACCGCCTCCGCGGATGGAAATACCTTGAGGTGGTCAGGGCGAGGACACAGTTGCACAATCCTTGCCTCTGCCACAATTCCCACCAAAAAGAAGAAGAAAGAAAAAAAAAATGAGACACTTTGCCACCAAAGCCAATGGGCCCAGCTCATAAAATTACCCACCCCGACACAGGGCACTCAAACAGCCTGTCATCACGGGACTTGTTCATCATTCTTCCAACATGGGCTGGTTAGAATGGAGCAACCCACGGACTTGTTGACAATGGTTTGTGCAAGCTTTGGACTAGGGAATAAACAGCTCGAAACTATGTGTAGGGCTAACCACTTCTCTAGTTGGAGAGATTAGTCTGGGGGATGTGGTGCTCTGAGAGTTAGTTAACTAGCATTACTGGTTTCCCAGTGATGCGCAGTCAGCCGGGCCTTTGGCCAGAAAGAGTAGGTAGCTCAGGAAATACGAGGGCACTTCAGAAAGTTTCTGGGGAAATAGAATGAAAAGATATGTTTATTTGGGTGTGCGAATTGAAAACCCAGGGCCGGCCCTGTGGCATAGTGCGTTAAGTCACTGCCTGCAGCGCCAGCATCCCATATGGACAGTGGTTGGATTCCCGGCTGTTCCACTTCTGATCCAGCTCCCTGCTTATGTGCCTGGGAAGGTGGAGGAGGATGGTCCAAGTGCTTGGGCCCCTGCTACCCAAGTGGGAGACCTGAATGAAGCAGCTGTCTCCTGGCTTCAGCTTGTTCCAGCTGTGGTGTGGCCACTTGGGGAGTGAACCAGTGGATGGAAGATCTCTCTCTCCCTCTCTCTTTAACTCTTTCAAATAAATAAATAAATCTTAAAAAAAAAAAAGGAAAGAAGAGGGCACATAAAATATATACTCTGGGGGCTGGCACTGTGGTGTAGCGGGTAAAGCTGCAGCCTGCAGTGCCGGCATCCCATATGGGCTCTTGTTCAAGTTTCGGATGCTCCACTTCCAATCCAGCTCTGTGCTATGGCCTGGGAAAGCAATAAATGGCCCAAGTCCTTGGGCCCCTGCACCCATGTGGGAGACCCAGAAGAAGCTCCTGGCTCCTGACTTCAGATCGGCACAGCTTCGGCCTTTGCAGCCATTTGGGGAGTGAAGCAGCGGATGGAAGACCTTTCTCTCTCTCTCTGCCTCTGTCTCTCTGTAACTTTGCCTTTCAAACAATTAAATAAATCTAAAAAAAAAAAAAAAAAGATGCACTCTGGAGATGAAGTCTATGTGGCTCTCTAAGGATTGGATGTGGGAGGTGAGAGCAAAGGGAGAACCAAACACTGTGTCTTGCTCGAGCACCTGGTGGATGCCTTTTATTGAAACTGAACCATGAACTTGGTGCCCATGTTTTCTCCCCCACATTTACATCTTGGATCCCCAGTGTGATCCGATTGGGGGTGGGGCTTTGGTGCGGTGATAAGGTTCTGAGCCTGCAACCCTCATGGATGGAACTGGAGCACTTGTGAAACAGTCCGCTGCTGTCCTGTTTCGGATGTAGGAGGATGCAGGGAGGGAGCTGGGACTCCCAGTCTCCAGCACTGAGCAGCGCAATGCTGTTGCCTGTAAGCCGCTTTGTCTCGCACCCAGAACCAACAGAAGGGAAAAACAAAACAAAACAAAACAACAACAACAAAACCAGGCAGATAGAGGGAGGAGAGGTGTGTGCTCAGAACGGAGTGAGGAAAAATGCAAATTGAAGTTTGGGGTGTTTATAGGACACAATACTGCTAGAGTCAAGCCCCAGAACCGCTCAGAAACAGAAGCGCCCACCCAGGCCAGACACCGCATCTCCAGCCACAAGATTGTAGGGGGCCCCTCTCGTGCACAGCACTGGCTTGTGATGGGCTGCGCCCCCTGAATCCCAGGAGCCCCCTGGAGGCGCACTGTCGCCTCCCTCTCTAACGCAGTACAGCCTCTTCCGCAGGACACAGAATGGGCCCTTGCAGGCTTGCTACGCCGGGGAGCTTTTCAGACGCTCTTTATACCTCCACATGGTTCTCTTTGCAAACGCAAAGTATGAAAACCCAAACCGTGGGGCCAGTGTTGTGGCGCAGGGGGTCAAGCTGCCACCTGCGACACCAGCATCCAGTATTTGATTTTGAGTTCGAGTCCTAGCTGCTCTGTTCCCAATCCAGCTCCCTGCTAGCGCACCTGGAAGGCAGCAGAAGGTAGGCCCAAGTGCTTGGTCCCTGCCACCCACGTGGGAGACCAGGATGGAGGTGCAGGCTCCTGGCTTTGACCTGGCCCAGCACTGGCAGTTACGGCTATTTGGGGAATAAACCAGTAGTTGGAAGATCTCTCTTTCTCTCTGTGCCTCCTTTCTCTGTGTCACTCTACTGCTTAGATAAACAAAAAATCTTAAGAAAAATTTCAAAACATATAAAATTGTCAATCTCCCCCTCAAAACAGAAAGTGAGGGGGCCGACACTGTGGCATAGTTGACTAAGCCTCCACCTACAGCACCAGCATCCCATATGGGCAGTTCTAGTTCTGGCTGCTCCTCTTCCGATCCAGCTCTCTACTATGGCCTGGGAAAGCAGTAGAAGATGGCCCAAGTCCTTGGGCCCCTGCACCCACGTCAGAGACCCAGAAGAAGCTCCTGGCTTCAGATTGGCTCAGCTCTGGCTGTTGCAGGCATTTGGGGAGTGAACCAGCAGATAGAAAACCTTTCTCTCTGTCTCTCCCTCTTTCTGTCTGTAACTCTAACTCTCAAATAAATAAATAAAATCTTTCTTTTTTTTAAAAGGTCTTCCTTCCGTTGGTTCACCCCCCAAATGGCTGCTATGGCAGGCGCTGCGCCGATCCGAAGCCAGGAGCCAGGTGCTTCCTCCTGGTCTCCCATGGAGGTGCAGGGCCCAAGCACTTGGACCATCCTCCACTGCCTTCCCGGGCTATAGCAGAGAGCTGGACTGGAAGAGGAGCAACCGGGACAGAATCCAGCACCCCAACCGGGACTAGAACCTGGGGTGCCAGCACCGCAGACGGAGGATTAGCCTAGTGAGCCACAGCACCAGCCAATAAAATCTTTAAAAAACAAAAAAACAAAAAAAAAAAAAAGAAAGAAAGAAAATGAGAGGCTCCCCCGCCCCTCCCCCCATGCCATGTCCCCACCCAGGTGCTTGCTGCATCATTCTAGGTGGCACAATCGGCCAGACCTGGGGCTTGAAGGCGCCACTTTGTGCCCTAGTAATGCCTGCGGGTTGCCCCGGGAGACTCGCTTCCGTGAGTCACTGGGGGAAAGTTGAGACGGCCTGAAATCCCAAAGGCGGTAGAATCTGCAGTGTCAGGAGGCACAGGGCTGACAGCCTGCTCCGTCCAATTTGCCGACTCGCTGAACTGTGCCCCGGGCCATCAGCCAGGAAGCCCCAAGCCAATGAGGAAGTCTGCAACTATCTGATGACTTACTTTCACTTAAAAAAAAAAAAAAAAAAACGCCTAACATTTCAATTATGTTTCAAAAGATACTACCTGCCCATAGCAAAATAGATAAACAAAATCCCAGTGTATTCAAAATCTGCGCAACCAAGGGATTCTCCCTCCCACCCAGTCCTTCAGCCTGCCAGGGACACCCCCGGCTCCCGGACGTCCTGATCCTTCTAGAAGCACAAGCTGTTGACAGCCACCGCACCCATTCTGTTCTGTTTCGGCCAGGCTATCCTGCCACAGCCGGTCACTGCACAGTGGTCCTAACACCGAGGGGCAAGCGCCTGCGCTGCTTCCTGGCTCTCAGCAAAGCACCGTTGACTAAGCACGCCTGGGTGCAGTGGGTGCCAGCTTGGGGGACAGTGACACAGGCCAGGGCTACAGTGTTCAGTGGCGATGGGTGGGAGTGGGGAGAGAGCAGGTGTGTGAGTGCCACCGACAATGCGAGGACTCCTGCTCCCTCTGCCGCTCTCTCTTTGTCCCCCTCCCTCGTGCACACAGATCTCACAAGTCGCATAAAAGCCTGATTTGCGTTTTGTTCTATGGGCTGATCCATAGGAGAGGTTTGGCAGAGAAGTTCATTACCGAACCTGCTCATTCCATACATTTGCATGAAGCACCTGGTTTGGGTGGAGCGTGAGAGTGAGGACACAGTTCACACAAGCTGACAAGCTCATTCCCTGGCTCCACAAAGCCTCGTCCAGGGAGGGAGGCAGGCCAGCAGACGGCTCCAATCCAGGGTGGTAAGTGATGTGGAGGGGAAGAACGGGGCACTGTGGACTGACAGATAGCTGAGCAGGCAATCCCGGAAGGTTTCCCAGAGGAGGCGATTTTTCACTGAGAGCTGAAGAAAGAGTAGAGCTACTCAGGCAAAGGGGAGAGCATGTTAGGAAGAGGGAACAAGTGCAGAGATGAAAAAACGAGAGGTGCTCAGCAGAGGTGAAGAACAGATTAGTCAAACTCTTTACACTTTCTCAACTCAGATGCCGGGCTTCAAATTCTAACTCTGCCACGTACTGGCTGTGGGACCTCAGGCAGATTACTTAACCTCTCTGTGTTCAGCTTCCTCATCAACAAACTGGGACTGATCCCTATTCCTGCTGGAGACCACACAGGTGATGCTACTTGGAACGGTGCCTGGCACACAGGGGAACTCCCTGTCTGGGTGCCAGGGCTGGGCCAGGCCAAGGCCAGGAACTTGGAACTCCATCCAGGTCTCCCTTGCCAGTGCACAGCAGAGCCCCAGCCTCAGCACATCAGCAGGTCAGCAAAGCTTCCTGGGTGTATATTAGCAGGAAGCCGAGGCTCCAGCCCAGGCATTCCGATTTAGGATGGGCTCGTCCCAGGCAGCATCTTTTTTTTTTTTTTTTTTTTTTTTAACAGGCGAGTGGACAGTGAGAGAGAGACAGAGAGAAAGGTCTTCCTTTTGCCGTTGGTTCACCCTCCAATGGCCGCCGCGGCCGGCGTGCTGTGGCCGGTGCACCACGCTGATCCGATGGCAGGAGCCAGGTGCTTCTCCCGGTCTGCCATGGGGTGCAGGGCCCAAGCACTTGGGCCATCCTCCACTGCACTCCCGGGCCACAGCAGAGAGCTGGCCTGGAAGAGGGGCAACCAGGACAGAATCCGGCACCCCAACTGGGACTAAAACCCGGTGTGCCGGCGCCACTAGGTGGAGGATTAGCCTAGTGAGCCATGGTGCTGGCCCCCAGGCAGCATCTTAACCGCTCAGCCAAACGCCCAGCCCTCGGTGAGTTGGAGAGGTCCAGGTGGGGGTCTGTGGGGCCCAGACTTGAGGACAGGTCCCACCAGGGCACGTGAGGACAAGTGACGTCACCTCCCTGGGCCTGTGCTCCCACGTGAAGCAAGCTTTGTCAAGGACTAAATGGGGTGAGAGAAGCAGATGTCCTGTCTTCATGGCACCCAGCGCAGAGCAAGAGCCCAGCATTGGCTGGTGCGGTTGCTGCAACCCAGCAGTATTTCTAGAATGTAACAGCCTCAGAGTTCTTCACTACCGGCTTTCTTCTGAGCGAGCCCAGGCTTCGTCCTCACCGAGAACTCAGCGACGAGGCCAGGTGAAGCTCACGACGCCAGCCTGTCCTAGCTGAAGCCGGGTTCCAGAGCCTTGGCTCTCCACTCCAGCTCTGCACTCCCGGGGTTGTCACTTGAGGGCCGCTCCGACATCTCCAGGGTCCTACACCAACTGCCGAGGGCTTCGTCTGACTCAGTGAAAGGTGCCAACTAGCACTCCTTTGGGAGAAGAGACGCTCAACTCACATGAATGATGTTGGAAGGTGGCAGCTTTTAATAAAGTCAGAAACTGGCCGGCGCCGCGGCTCACTAGGCTAATCCTCCGCCTTGCGGCGCCGGCACACCGGGTTCTAGTCCCGGTCGGGGCGCCGGATTCTGTCCCGGTTGCCCCTCTTCCAGGCCAGCTCTCTGCTGTGGCCAGGGAGTGCAGTGAAGGATGGCCCAAGTGCTTGGGCCCTGCACCCCATGGGAGACCAGGATAAGTACCTGGCTCCTGCCATCGGATCAGTGCAACACGCCGGCCGCGGCGGCCATTGGAGGGTGAACCAACTGAAGGAAGACCTTTCTCTCTGTCTCTCTCTCTCACTGTCCACTCTGCCTGTCAAAAAAAAATAAATAAATAAAGTCAGAAACTACAGCTCTAGAAGTTGGCTGGCAGCATCATTTTTTTTTTTAAGATTTATTTATTTGAAAGACAGAGTTACAAAGAGAGGTAGACTCTTTCCCTCTCTCTCTCTCCCTCTCTCATTCTGCCTAAAACAGGGAGAGAATCTTCCATCCACTGGTTCACTCCCCAAATGATTGCAACCACCAGGACTGGAAGCCAGGGGTCTGGAATTCCTTTTGGGGTCTCCCTCCCCAAGTAGGGTCTTAACCGCTGTACCTAACGCCCACCTGATAATACCACTTTTCTGTCCAACAACTTTACTTCTCAGTCTTTTCCTTTCTGCCCCTCACTCCCTGGGTCTGGCCACCCTGGGCTCCCTAAGCACACTGGGACCGCCCTGGCCTCTGAGCCTTGCCCAGAACGCTGTGCCCTCCAGGTGCTTGTAGGAGTGGCTTCCTCACTCCCTCGAGGTCTGTTCATCTTCTCAGGGTCTCCCCGTGGCCTCTTCTAAAATCATAGCTCTCACCTCATCCCTAAGTCCCTTGCTCCTCCTCCTCCTCCTTTTTATTTATTTATTTATTTGACAGAGTTAGACAGTGAGAGAGAGAGAGACAGAAAGAAAGGTCTTCCTTCTGTTGGTTCACCCTCCAAATGGCCACCACAGCCGGAGCTACGCCAATCCGAAGCCAGGAGCCAGGTGCTTCCCCCCAGTCTCCCATGCAGGTGCAGGGCCCCAGCACTTGGGCCATCCTCCACTGCCTTCCCGGGCCACAGCAGAGAGCTTGACTGGGAGAGGAGCAACCAGGACTAGAACCCGGTGCCCATATGGGATGCCAGTGCCGCAGGCGGAGGATTTACCCTACTGAGCCCACGTGCCGGCCTTCTTTTTTTTTTTTTTTTTAAGATTTAAAGATCATTTGAAAGGCAGAGTTAGAGAGAGAGGGGGGGGTAGGGGGGAGAGAGAGATAGCTTCCATCCACTGGTTCTCTCCCCAAATGGCCATAATGGCAAGGGTTGGGCCAGGCAGAAGCCAGGAGCCAGGAGCCCCATCTGTATCTCCCACATGGGTGCAGGGTCCCAAGGACTTGGGCCGCCTGCCTCTGCCTTCCCAGGTGCTTTATCAGGGAGCTGGATTGCAGGTGGAGTGACAGGAACTCGAACCGCTCCTACATGGGATGAAGCAACTGCAGGCGGTGGCTTTACCCATTATGCCACAACACCGACACCTTCCTGTTATACCACTTAGCAGCACTACCTAACAGTAATATGCTTATTTATTTTGTTTATTGTCTGTCTCCCCCTCTGGAATGTGGTCCCATCAGGACATGGGATCTTGTCTGTTTTGTTTACTGCTATATTCTCAACACCCAGAAGAGTGCCTGGCTCATAGTTTGTGCTCAATAAATGTTTGCTAAATGAATGAATGAAAAAAAAAAGAGAGAGAGAGGTAGAGATAGAGAGAGGTTATCCATCCACTGGCTCACTTCTCAAGTAGCCACAACAGCCAGAGCTGAGCCAATCCAAAGCTAGGAACCAGAAGCTTCCTCTGGGTCTCCCACATAGGTGCAGGGGCCCAAGGACTTGGGTCATATTCGACTGCTTTCCCAAGTGCATTAGCAGGGAGCTGGATCAGAAGTGGAGCAGCCAGAATTTGAACCGGTGCCCATATGGGATGCCAGCACAGCAGGCCAGGGCTTTAACCCACTATGCCACAGTGCCAGCCCCTACCATCATTTTTACTTCTGTTATCTTAATCCTGAACTATTTACAGT